GTGAGCAGAGAAGACAGGCAGCAGACAGACATACTGGGGTGAGCAGAGAAGACAGGCAGCAGACAGACATACTAGGGTGAGCAGAGGAGACAGGCAGCAGGCAGACATACTGGGGTGAGCAGAGAAGATAGGCAGCAGACAGACATACTGGGGTGAGCAGAGAAGACAGGCAGCAGACAGACATACTGGGGTGAGCAGAGGAGACAGGCACCAGACAGACATACTGGGGTGAGCAGAGAAGACAGACAGCAGACAGACATACTGGGGTGAGCAGAGGAGACAGGCAGCAGACAGACATACTGGTGTGAGCAGAGGAGACAGGCAGCAGGCAGACATACTGGGGTGAGCAGAGGAGACAGGCAGCAGATAGACATACTGGGGTGAGCAGAGAAGATAGGCAGCAGACAGACATACAGGGGTGAGCAGAGAAGACAGGCAGCAGACAGACATACTGGGGTGAGCAGAGGAGACAGGCACCAGACAGACATACTGGGGTGAGCAGAGAAGACAGACAGCAGACAGACATACTGGGGTGAGCAGAGGAGACAGGCAGCAGACAGACATACTGGGGTGAGCAGAGGAGACAGGCAGCAGACAGACATACTGGGGTGAGCAGGGAAGACAGGCACAGACAGACATACTAGGGTGAGCACAGAAGACAGGCAGCAGACAGACATACTGGGGTGAGCAGAGAAGACAGGCAGCAGACAGACATACTGGGGTGAGCAGAGGAGACAAGCAGCAGACAGACATACTGGGTGAGCAGAGAAGACAGGCAGCAGACAGACATACTGGGGTGAGCAGAGAAGACAGGCAGCAGACAGACATACTGGAGTGAGCAGAGGAGACAGGCATCAGACAGACATACTGGGGTGAGTCAGAGGAGACAGGCAGCAGACAGACATATTGGAGGTGAGCAGAGAAGAACTAGGCAGCAGACAGACATACTGGGGTGAGCAGAGGAGACAGGCAGCAGACAGACATACTGGGATGAGCAGAGGAAGACAGGCAGCAGACAGACATATTGGGGTGAGCAGAGAAGATAGGCAGCAGACAGACATACTGGGGTGAGCAGAGAAGACAGGCAGCAGACAGACATACTGGGGTGAGCAGAGGAGACAGGCAGCAGACAGACATACTGGGGTGAGCAGAGAAGACAGGCAGCAGACAGACATACTGGGGTGAGCAGAGGAGACAGGCAGCAGACAGACATACTGGGGTGAGCAGAGAAGACAGACAGCAGACAGACATACTGGGGTGAGCAGAGAAGACAGGCAGCAGACAGACATACTGGGGTGAGCAGAGAAGACAGGCAGCAGACAGACATACTGGGGTGAGCAGAGAGACAGGCAGCAGACAGACATACTGGGGTGAGCAGAGGAAGACAGGCAGCAGACAGACATACTGGGGTGAGCAGAGGAGACAGGCAGCAGACAGACATACTGGGGTGAGCAGAGAAGACAGGCAGCAGACAGACATACTGGGGTGAGCAGAGAGACAGGCAGCAGACAGACATACTGGGGTGAGCAGAGAGACAGGCAGCAGACAGACATACTGGGGTGAGCAGAGAAGACAGGCAGCAGCAGACAATACTGGGGTGAGCAGAGGAAACAGGCAGCAGACAGACATACTGGGGTGAGCAGAGAAGACAGGCAGCAGACAGACATACTGGGGTGAGCAGAGAAGACAGGCAGCAGATAGACATACTGGGGTGAGCAGAGAAGACAGGCAGCAGACAGACATACTGGGGTGAGCAGAGAAGACAGGCAGCAGACAGACATACTAGGGTGAGCAGAAGAGACAGGCAGCAGGCAGACATACTGGGGTGAGCAGAGGAGACAGGCAGCAGAAGACATACTGGGGTGAGCAGAGAAGATAGCCAGCAGACAGACATACTGGGGTGAGCAGAGAAGACAGGCAGCAGACAGACATACTGGGGTGAGCAGAGAGAGACAGGCAGCAGACAGACATACTGGGGTGAGCAGAGAAGACAGGCAGCAGACAGACATACTGGGGTGAGCAGAGAAGACAGGCAGCAGCAGACATACTGGGGTGAGCAGAGGAGACAGGCAGCAGACAGACATACTGGGGCGAGCAGAGAAGACAGGCAGCAGACAGACATACTGGGGTGAGCAGAGAAGACAGGCAGCAGAAGACATACTGGGGTGAGCAGAGAAGACAGGCAGCAGATGACATACTGGGGTGAGCAGAGAAGACAGGCAGCAGACAGACATACTAGGGTGAGCAGAGGAGACAGGCAGCAGGCAGACATACTGGGGTGAGCAGATGAGACAGGCAGCAGATAGACATACTGGGGTGAGCAGAGAAGATAGGCAGCAGACAGACATACTGGGGTGAGCAGAGAAGACAGGCAGCAGACAGACATACTGGGGTGAGCAGAGAAGACAGGCAGCAGGACAGACATACTGGGGTGAGCAGAGAAGACAGGCAGCAGACAGACATACTGGGTGAGCCAGAGAAGACAGGCAGCAGACAGACATACTGGGGTGAGCAGAGAAGACAGGCAGCAGACAGACATACTGGGGTGAGCAGAGAAGACAGGCAGCAGACAGACATACTGGGGTGAGCAGAGAAGACAGGCAGCAGACAGACATACTGGGGTGAGCAGAGAAGACAGGCAGCAGACAGACATACTGGGGTGAGCAGAGAAGACAGGCAGCAGGCAGACATACTGGGGTGACCAGAGAAGACAGGCAGCAGACAGACATACTGGGGTGAGCAGAGAAGACAGGCAGCAGACATACATACTGGGGTGAGCAGAGAGACAGGCAGCAGACAGACATACTGGGGTGAGCAGAGAAGACATGCAGCAGACAGACATACTGGGGTGAGCAGAGAAGACAGGCAGCAGACATACATACTGGGGTGAGCAGAGAAGACAGGCAGCAGACAGACATACTGGGGTGAGCAGAGGAGACAGGCAGCAGACAGACATACTAGGGTGAGCAGAGGAGACAGGCAGCAGACAGACATCCTGGGGTGAGCAGAGGAGACAGGCAGCAGACAGACATAATCTCACATTACACAGAAAAACCACTGTGAAAAAATTTAGTGAACTCGGAAGCGCTTTCGTTGTTCCTCACGTCTTCAGATCACTTGGATGTGCCCTATTTTTTTCACAGTGGTTGTTCAGCATAATGAGATACATGTAGGAGTATAACTAAGCTTGGTCTGGTTCTCCGGTTCTTTGTGTATTTATGATCACCAGTGGCAGGCCTATATTTTTGGGGCCCTGAAGCTTGAACTGTTGTGGGACCCTGAAGCTTGAGCTGTTGTGGGATCCTGAAGCTTGAACTGTTGTGGGACTCTGAAGCTTGAACTGTTGTGGGACCCTGAAGCTTGAACTGTTGTGGGACTCTGAAGCTTGAACTGTTGTGGGACCCTGAAGCTTGAACTGTTATGGGTCCCTGAAGCTTGAAATGTTGTGGGTCCTTGAAGCTTGAACTGCTGTGGGACCCTGAAGCTTGAACTGTTGTGGGACCCTGAAGCTTGAACTGTTGTGGGACCCTGAAGCTTGAACTGTTGTGGGACTCTGAAGCTTGAACTGTTGTGGGACCCTGAAGCTTGAACTGTTATGGGTCCCTGAAGCTTGAAATGTTGTGGGTCCCTGAAGCTTGAACTGTTGTGGGACCCTGAAGCTTGAACTTTTGTGGGTCCCTGAAGTTTGAACTGTTGTCGGTCCCTGAAGCTTGAACTGTTGTGGGTCCCTGAAGCTTGAACTGTTATGGGTCCCTGAAGTTTGAACTGTTGTGGGACCCTGAAGCTTGAACTATTATGGGTCCCTGAAGCTTGAAATGTTGTTGGTCCCTGAAGTTTGAACTGTTGTGGGTCCCTGAAGCTTGAACTGTTATGGGTCCCTGAAGCTTGAACTGTTATGGGTCCCTGAAGCTTGAACTGTTGTGGGTCCCTGAAGCTTGAACTGTTATGGGTCCCTGAAGCTTGAACTGTTATGGGTCCCTGAAGCTTGAACTGTTGTGGGTCCCTGAAGTTTGAACTGTTGTGGGACCCTGAAGCTTGAACTGTTATGGGTCCCTGAAGCTTGAACTGCTGTGGGTCCCTGAAGCTTGAACTGTTGTGGGTCCCTGAAGCTTGAACTGTTCTGGGGTGTCTTCGTAACTAACAGCAACTAGGCCTACAACTAGGCCTACAACAAATAGGCGTACAACAACTAGGCGTACAACTACTAGGCCTACAACAGCTAGGCCTACAACTAGGTCTACAACAAATAGGCCTACAACTAGGCCTACAGCAACTAGGCCTACAACAACTAGGCTTACAACAACTAGGCCTACAACAACTAGGCCTACAGCAACTAGACCTACAACAACTAGGCCTACAGCAACTAGGCCTACAACAACTAGGCCTACAGCAACTAGGCCTACAACTAGGCCTACAACAACTAGTCCTACAGCAACTAGGCCTACAACAACTAGGCCTACAGCAACTAGGCCTACAACAACTAGGCCTACAACAACTAGGCCTACAACAACTAGGCCTATATAATAATTTAATAACATTTTAATTTTTATTTTAACAATTATTTTGTAATGAATTACACTATATTACTAATATTATTATTAAAAAACACTTCCCATACAGTCGACCCAAATTTTTAAGCAGTGTGAACTAAAGTCGCTTCTGGGGCCCCTGCGGGATTGAGGCCCCTGCGGGATTGAGGCCCCTGCGGGATTGGGGCCCCTGAAGCTTAGGTTTTATTATTTTCACAGTAGATCCACCCTGATAATCACATCTTGTGGTCTTGTTTCCCTTTTCTAATAATTAAACTGGCACATTGCTGTTCCTGGACTGTAATTACCTCCGAATACGACTCATGTCTAATTGCTCCTGTCATTTCTGCCTATGTGTTAAATTTATTGCCAACTGGTGTTTAAAGTGCAATAGTTTCTGGTACTGAGAATTAAAGTGTGTACAGTCCACAGTCTTCTTTTAGAAGCTCTAACGTTCTTGTTTCTCAACAGATGAAGCATTGACGTGTAATGTCTGTGATCGAGTGTTTCCCACACCAACTCTCCTGGCTTCTCACCAGACAAGGAAGAGACATTATGGGTAAGTTAGAGAAGAAAGAGGAAGACTTAGGCTTCTCACCAGACAAGGAAGAGACATTATGGGTAAGTTAGAGAAGAAAGAGGAAGACTTAGGCTTCTCACCAGACAAGGAAGAGACATTATGGGTAAGTTAGAGAAGAAAGAGGAAGACTTAGGCTTCTCACCAGACAAGGAAGAGACATTATGGGTAAGTTAGAGAAGAAAGAGGAAGACTTAGGCTTCTCACCAGACAAGGAAGAGACATTATGGGTAAGTTAGAGAAGAAACAGGAAGACTTAGGCTTCTCACCAGACAACGAAGAGACATTATGGGTAAGTTAGAGAAGAAACAGGAAGACTTAGGCTTCTCACCAGACAAGGAAGAGACATTATGGGTAAGTTAGAGAAGAAACAGGAAGACTTAGGCTTCTCACCAGACAACGAAGAGACATTATGGGTAAGTTAGAGAAGAAACAGGAAGACTTAGGCTTCTCACCAGACAAGGAAGAGACATTATGGGTAAGTTAGAGAAGAAACAGGAAGACTTAGGCTTCTCACCAGACAAGGAAAGACATTATGGGTAGTTAGAGAAGAAACAGGAAGACTTAGGCTTCTAACCAGACAAGGAAGAGACATTATGGGTAAGTTAGAGAAGAAAGAGGAAGACTTAGCTTCTCACCAGACAAGGAAGAGACATTATGGGTAAGTTAGAGAAGAAACAGAAGACTAGGCTTCTCACCAGTACAAGGAAGAGACATTATGGGTAAGTTAGAGAAGAAACAGGAAGACTTAGGCTTCTCACCAGACAAGGAAGAGACATTATGGGTAAGTTAGAGAAGAAACAGGAAGACTTAGGCTTCTCACCAGCAACGAAGAGACATTTATGGGTAAGTTAGAGAGAAACGGAAGACTTAGGCTTCTCACAGACAAGGAAGAGACATTATGGTAAGTTTTAGAGAAGAAACAGGAAGACTTAGGCTTCTCACCGAGACAAGAGATGACATTTATGGGTAAGTTAGAGAAGAGACAGAAGACTTAGGCTTCTCACACAGACAACGAAGAGACATTATGGATAAGTTAGAGAAGAAACAGGAAGACTTAGGCTTCTCACCAGACAAGGAAGAGACATTATGGGTTAAGTTAGAGAAGAAACAGGAAGATTAGGCTTCTCACCAGACAAGGAAGAGACATTATGGGTAAGTAGAGAAGAAACGTAGAGACTTAGGCTTCTCACCAGACAAGGAAGAGACATTATGGGTAAGTTAGAGAAGAAAGAGGAAGACTTAGGCTTCTCACAGACAAGGAAGAGACATTATGGGTTAAGTTAGAGAAGAAAGAGGAAACTTAGGCTTCTCACCAACAAGGAAGAGACATTATGGGTAAGTTAGAGAAGAAACAGGAAGACTTAGGGCTTCTCACCAGACAAGGAAGAGACATTATGGGTAAGTTAGAGAAGAAACAGGAAGACTTAGGCTTCTCACCAGACAACGAAGAGACATTATGGGTAAGTTAGAGAAGAAACAGGAAGACTTAGGCTTCTCACCAGACAAGGAAGAGACATTATGGGTAAGTTAGAGAAGAAAACAGGAAGACTTAGGCTTCTCACCAGACAACGAAGAGACATTATGGGTAAGTTAGAGAAGAAACAGGAAGACTTAGGCTCCACCAGACAAGGAAGAGACATTATGGGTAGTTAGAGAAGAAACAGGAAGACTTAGGCTTCTCACCAGACAACGAAGAGACATTATGGGTAAGTTAGAGAAGAAACAGGAAGACTTAGGCTTCTCACCAGACAAGGAAGAGACATTATGGGTAAGTTAGAGAAGAAACCAGGAAGACTTAGGCTTCTCACCAGACAACGAAGAGACATTATGGGTAATTAGAGAAGAAACAGGAAGACTTAGGCTTCTCACCAGACAAGGAAGAGACATTATGGGTAAGTTAGAGAAGAAACAGGAAGACTTAGGCTTCTCACCAGACAACGAAGAGACATTATGGTAAGTTAGAGAAGAAACAGGAAGACTTAGGCTTCTCACCAGACAAGGAAGAGACATTATGGGTAAGTTAGAGAAGAAACAGGGAATTAGGCTTCTCACCAGACAACGAAGAGACATTATGGGTAAGTTAGAGAAGAAACAGGAAGACTTAGGCTTCTCACCAGACAAGGAAGAGACATTATGGGTAAGTTAGAGAAGAAACAGGAAGACTTAGGCTTCTCACCAGACAACGAAGAGACTTATGGGTAAGTTAGAGGAAGAAACAGGAAGACTTAGCTTCCTCCAACAGACAAGGAAGAGACATTATGGGTAAGTTAGAGAAGAAACAGAAGACTTAGGCTTCTCACCAGACAAGGAAGAGACATTATGGGTAAGTTAGAGAAGAAAACAGGAAGAACTTAGGCTTCTCACCAGACAATGGAAGAGACATTATGGGTAAGTTAGAGAAGAAACAGGAAGACTTAGGCTTCTCACCAGACAACGAAGAACTTTGGATAAGTTAGGAAGAAAACAGGAAGACTTAGGCTTCTCACAGACAAGGAAGAGACATTATGGGTAAGTTAGAGAAGAAACAGGAAGACTTAGGCTTCTCACCATGACAAGGAAGAGACATTAATGGGTAAGTTAGAGAAGAAACAGAAGACTTAGGCTTCTCACCAGACAAGGAAGAGACATTATGGGTAAGTTAGAGAAGAAAGAGGAAGACTTAGGCTTCTCACCAGCAAGAAGAGACATTATGGGTAAGTTAGAGAAGAAAAGGAAGACTTAGGCTTCTCACCAGACAAGGAAGAGACATTATGGGTAAAGTTAGAGAAGAAACAGGAAGACTTAGGCTTCTCAACCAGACAAGGAAGAGACATTATGGGTAAGTTAGAGAAGAAACAGGAAGAACTTAGGCTTCTCACCAGACAACGAAGAGACATTATGGGTAAGTTAGAGAAGAAACAGGAAGACTTAGGCTTCTCACCAGACAAGGAAGAGACATTATGGGTAGTAGGAAGAAACAGGAAGACTTAGGCTTCTCACCAGACAACGAAGAGACATTATGGGTAGTTAGAAAGAAACAGGAAGACTTAGGCTTCTCACCAGACAAGGAAGAGACATATGGGTAAGTTAGAGAAGAAACAGGAAGACTTAGGCTTCTCTACCAGACAACGAAGAGACATTATGGGTAAGTTAGAGAAGAAACAGGAAGACTTAGGCTTCTCACCAGACAAGGAAGAGACATTATGGTAAGTTAGAGAAGAAACAGGAAGACTTAGGCTTCTCACCAGACAAACGAAGAGACATTATGGGTAAGTTAAGAGAAGAAACAGGAAGACTTAGGCTTCTCACCAGACAAGGAAGAGACATTATGGGTAGTTAGAGAAGAAACAGGAAGACTTAGGCTTCTCACCAGACAACGAAGAGACATTATGGGTAAGTTAGAAGTAAGAAACAGGAAGACTTAGGCTTCTCACCAGACAAGAAGAGACATTATGGTAATTAGAGAAGAAACAGGAAGACTTAGGCTTCTCACCAGACAACGAAGAGACATTATGGGTAATTTAGAGAAGAAACAGGAAGACTTAGGCTTCTCACCAGACAAGGAAGAGACATTATGGGTAATTAGAGAAGAAACAGGAAGACTTAGCTTCTCACCAGACAACGAAGAGACATTATGGGTAAGTTAGAGAAGAAACAGGAAGACTTAGGCTTCTCACGACAAGGAAGAGACATTATGGGTAAGTTAGAGAAAAACAGGAAGACTTAGGCTTCTCACCAACAACGAAGAGACATTATGGTAAGTTAGAGAAGAAACAGGAAGACTTAGGCTTCTCACCAGACAAGGAAGAGACATTATGGGTAAGTTAGAGAAGAAAAGGAAGACTTAGGCTTCTCACCAGACAACGAAGAGACTTATGGGTAAGTTAGAGAAGAAACAGGAAGACTTAGGCTTCTCACCAGACAAGGAAGAGACATTATGGGTAAGTTAGAGAAGAAACAGAAGACTTAGGCTTCTCACCAGACAAGGAAGAGACATTATGGGTAAGTAGAGAAGAAACAGGAAGACTTAGGCTTCTCACCAGACAAACGAAGAGACATTATGGGTAAGTTAGAGAAGAAACAGGAAGACTTAGGCTTCTCACCAGACAGGAAGAGACATTATGGGTAAGTTAGAGAAGTAACAGGAAGACTTAGGCTTCTCACCAACAAGGAAGAGACATTATGGGTAAGTTAGAGAAGAAACAGGAAGACTTAGGCTTCTCACCAGACAAGGAAGAGACATTATGGGTAAGTTAGAGAAGAAAGAGGAAGACTTAGGCTTCTCACCAGACAACGAAGAGACATTATGGGTAAGTTAGAGAAGAAACAGGAAGACTTAGGCTTCTCACCAGACAAGGAAGAGACATTATGGGTAAGTTAGAGAAGAAACAGGAAGACTTAGGCTTCTCACCAGACAAGGAAGAGACATTATGGGTAAGTTAGAGAAGAAAGAGGAAGACTTAGGCTTCTCACCAGACAACGAAGAGACATTATGGGTAAGTTAGAGAAGAAAGAGGAAGACTTAGGCTTCTCACCAGACAAGGAAGAGACATTATGGGTAAGTTAGAGAAGAAACAGGAAGACTTAGGCTTCTCACCAGACAACGAAGAGACATTATGGGTAAGTTAGAGAAGAAAGAGGAAGACTTAGGCTTCTCACCAGACAAGAAGAGACATTATGGGTAAGTTAGAGAAGAAACAGGAAGACTTAGGCTTCTCACCAGACAACGAAGAGACATTATGGGTAAGTTAGAGAAGAAACAGGAAGACTTAGGCTTCTCACCAGACAACGAAGAGACATTATGGGTAAGTTAGAGAAGAAACAGGAAGACTTAGGCTTCTCACCAGACAAGGAAGAGACATTATGGGTAAGTTAGAGAAGAAACAGGAAGACTTAGGCTTCTCACCAGACAAGGAAGAGACATTATGGGTAAGTTAGAGAAGAAACAGGAAGACTTAGGCTTCTCACCAGACAAGGAAGAGACATTATGGGTAAGTTAGAGAAGAAACAGGAAGACTTAGGCTTCTCACCAGACAAGGAAGAGACATTATGGGTAAGTTAGAGAAGAAACAGGAAGACTTAGGCTTCTCACCAGACAACGAAGAGACATTATGGGTAAGTTAGAGAAGAAACAGGAAGACTTAGGCTTCTCACCAGACAACGAAGAGACATTATGGGTAAGTTAGAGAAGAAACAGGAAGACTTAGGCTTCTCACCAGACAACGAAGAGACATTATGGGTAAGTTAGAGAAGAAACAGGAAGACTTAGGCTTCTCACCAGACAACGAAGAGACATTATGGGTAAGTTAGAGAAGAAACAGGAAGACTTAGGCTTCTCACCAGACAAGGAAGAGACATTATGGGTAAGTTAGAGAAGAAACAGTAAGATTGAGTTAGAGGAAAGAGTTCAAGAAAAAGGAAAATCTGGAGAACGAGTTACATAACGGAAGAGATAAAGATAAGGAATGATAGTCAGAAGATCACAGACATGGATAGATAATGGTAGGAAGTAAAGACGGTGGAGAGAGAAAGAGAGATAGGGAAAGGAGAGAGGTTAAACGAAGCAAGAAAAGTGGGAGGCAGGATCCGAAAGAGGTATTACCACGATTGTATATGAAGCGCTAAGTAAATCCACGTAGGCAATGAAAATGAAAGCCACCAGTTGCTGCAGCCCAAGAGCTGTACATCTCTGCGGTGACCAGGTGTATTGTACACCTGAACCACAACACCCAAGTTCTGGATGAATTTTGCTGGTAATAATGTATGATCATTTTTTTCTACCAGTACATATACAAGGTATACAGACCATAGCTGACATCAATAACGTACAATGACATCAGTGTCATTGTATGTCATTGATGTCAGGACAATTGTGTTGTAGAGGTCTGAACACTACTCAGACCTCTACAACACAACTGTTCTCAAAGATTTGTTAAGTTATGTTAGGTAAGACACATATGCAACAGTTAGGTATCTTTATTTCGAAACGTTTCGCCTACACAGTAGGCTTCTTCAGTCGAGTACAGAAAAGTTGATAGAAGCAGAAGAGACTTGAAGACGATGTAATCAGTCCATATGTGTCTTACCTAACAACCTTTAGGTATTTTATACCATTTTAATGTTCAGTTTGTTAAGTTATAC